TAAATACCAAAAAATGAATTTTTATAATAAAAATTTGTAATAACTTATTACCCCAACTAAAAAAAGCTAGGGATTTAAAACTTTTTGTTAAAAATCACAAAAATAAAAAATAAAATAAATAAATAAATAAAAATCACAGAAATGATGTCCTCCCTTCAGAATTCCAATCAAAGTGATAACAGAGTTACCATATAACCCAGCACTTCCACTGCCAGGTATATACTCAAGAGAAATGAAAACCTTTGTCCACCCGAATACTTGTACAGGTATTCATAGCAGCATACTTCATAACAGCCCAAAAGTAGAAACCTAAATGTCCATCAATCAATGAATGGATAAACATAAACAAAATGGGCTATATCCATACACTATTAATTATTCAGCCATTTAAAAAAAAAGCACTGATACATGTTACAACATGAATAAGCCTTCAAAACATTATGCTAAGTGAACGGAGTCAGACACAAAAGGTGTCATATTATAGGATTCCACTTATAAGAAATGTACAGAATAGGGACACCTGGGTGGCTCAGCAGTTGAGCATCTGCCTTCTGCTCGGGGCATGATCCCAGGGTCCGGGATCAGGTCCCGCATTGGGCTCCTTGCAGGGAGCCTGTTTCTCGCTCTGCCTATGTCTCTGCCTCTCACTCTCTGTATCTCTCGTGGATAAAATCTTTAGGGGATCCCTGGGTGGCTCAGCGGTTTAGCGCCTGCCTTCAGCCCAGGATGTGATCCTGGGGTCCCGGGATCGAGTCCCACATCAGGCTCCCTGTATGGAGCCTGCTTCTCCTTCTGCCTGTGTCTCTGCCTCTCTGTGTGTGTCTCTTGAAGAAATAAATAAAATCTTTTTCAAATAGATAAATAAAATATTTTTTTAAAAAAAGGTACAGAATAAGCAAAACCATAGAGACAGATTAGTGGTTCCCAGGAACTGGGGCTAAGCGGTACAGTTTTTGGGGTGATGACATGTTCTGCATAGTGGTGATGGCTACACAACTTTGTGAATACACTAAGAACCAATGAATTATATACTTCTTCAAAAGGGTGAATTTTGGAGCACCTGGGTGGCTGTCAGTTAAGCGTCTGCCCCCCACGTGGGGCTCCCTGCTCAGCTGAGAACCTGCTTCTTCTTCTCCCTCTGCCCACCCCCCTGCTCCTGCACCCTCTTTCAAATAATAAAATCTTTTTAAAGGGGGGGGGGTGAACTTCATAGTATATGAAATAAACTTCAATGAAGCCATTACTTTAAAATTTAAAAAAAAATGAAAAGATACACAACAAGCTTTATGCATTCAAATATTTTCTTATTTATGTGAATTCAAGCCACATAAAATTCTGACTTACCAAATGGTGAAAAACCAAAATTACACTGTGTTGGTTAGGGAGAGAGTGGGACAGCCTGCTCTAAATATAGGAATTATAAAAATAAGGAAATTCGTTTTTTCACTACTGAAAAGTTAAATTCACTAGGCAGCTGAAAAATTATCAACTTTATATTCAATTTACCTGACTAACATCCATTTAAAAACTCAAATTGATGGTTCTTGTCAAAAATGTCATCTTAACCAAAATAACACCCTTCCAGAAAGCAAAGAATGCTTACTAATCCAGATTTCTTAAATAGTAATAATCCCGGTATCAACTCCATGGAAGTGCCTTTTACGGATGCCAACAGCCTAAGTAAAAATGCCTAATAATATTTAGAAAGTTCAGTAATAAACTAATTTTGTCTTTGATTATGCTAAAAAGGTTTCTGCTGCTTAAAAGAGTTTTTATGTAAACTACTTTCTAAAAAAAGTCAATTACAAGGAAAAATATTCTGATGAACTGAAAAGAGGTCAAGTTTCCACATATGTGCAATGGATAAATCAAGATTGTTTACTGCTAAGAGACTATGTATCCATAAAATACCAAGCCTCCTACTCACACACACAACAGAAACATATACACCTATTTTCCTGCTACATCAGCACCCACCTATGTACTATATAATTACACATATTATCTTTGGTATACAAAAATACTATGGACTGGCTTGTGTTTTCTTCCAACAGCGTTGACAGGTAGCAGTGAATCACACATTGTCCTGTGTCTCATCTGCCTCATGATCAATGACACATGCTGCCAACATCTGAGGTTAAGGATGCAAACTGAGACTACAGATTATTTTCTCCTTCTCATGATGCTAAATGTTACCTGTATACAAATATGGAATGACCTCCGTTAGTGTCACTGGTGCCAAACTCAAACCGAACTGCACGAGACTCAAATCTGAAGTAAACCACACAACTACAGTACTTCTGTTTATTTGAATACATGATCATTACCAAATTGTTGAGCACACTCTACAGGAAGAAAACCACACTAATAATAGAAATAAACATACCAACCAAGAAAAAAAAAATTTTTTTAAGGGACAGACATAACTTCACGTATTTTATCTCATATGTCCTCAAAATTCCAGAAACCCCACTACTTAAAAGACTACAAAGAGCATATCCTAGAACACTTCTATGACCAAAAATACTTTGTCAGAGTATGCATCCATTCAGATTTCAGTGCTGAATATACAGTCTTCACGGAAAAAGAATTCATACCTATTTCTCAGAGGTCTTAAAATCTAATTCGGAACCAGAATAAAAACATAAAAAGATATATTGAAATCCAGGATAGCATATGCTAAGAAAAAAAAAAAAAAGGAGAGTTCCACATGCACACACACAAAAAGGAGTGAATAGATCCCTTGAGGTTGAAATAGCCAGAAAGGCTTTTCAAGAGACAGGACTCAACCTGGCCGCAAAGAGAGTATCCATGAATACAGCGGAAGAGGGTTTCAAACAGAAAGAAAGGCCAAAGGAGGGACTTCACAGCAGCAACAAACAAGTTAGTTTGGCTAGAGGGAAGAATCCACAAAAGAGGAGAAATAAGAGTTAAGCGTGAAGTGGATCAGGTCCAGGTTACAAAGAAACCTGAACACCACACCAAGAAGCTTAAACCTTACTTTGCATGTAAGTGCTCTGGAAGTTTTTAGGTTGTGATGTGACGAGAGCAGAGTGTTAAAATGTTCAAGATATTATTTACCCACAGTATCAGCAAGCATAAATATTCCAAATGAAACAGGTCATCACAGAGAAAGTATGTTCAAAGCCCGGGCATAAGTTTATTACTAGAAGAGGAGGGAGGCAGCAGCGATGCTCAAATAATAAAATTTAAACCAAGTTAAATAAAAACTTAAGTGCTGTACTTTTCCAACTCCCATTTATTTAAAGTTCCCACTTATTATAAAAGCAATATAAGTGGAAAGCACATCGAACAACCCTCACTATATCAGTGACACACAGAAGGCCATTTGCCTCAAATATTGTACAACTGGATGGTGGGCTCCAGAACTGTGTTAGCCCTCAGCCCTTAAAAATGTGATAAGCCATAACCCTTATCTGCGTAAAGGCAGGTTGAGGCCATAAGTTGAAAACACACTACCGAGTTCATCACACTAACCCAAGCACGTTTCAAAAGTAAACAAAAGAGCGTCTTAATGCTCTCAAGCATTAATAAAAGGTGCTGAAACATCAACAGAAATAAAAATCCCTCGTGACATTCAACTATCCTCCCCAGAGATTAAAATGAGTCGGTACTGTCCTCTCAGTTTCCCTGATAGCCCAGTAAGACCAATGCTATGAAATCTCCGCATAAGTGAATGCATCATCTTAAAAAAAAAAAAAAAAAAATCAAGAGACAGCAGGGTTCTAAATTTCTTTAGCATTCCCTCATTCAATTAATAATAACCCCCAGAATGGATTCAGCTTTGTTTTGCACGGATGTAGTTTCTGTGGCTTTTCCAAGGCCCTTGGCACAAACCAAGATCAAAATTCTTCACGGTTTCCCCTGGCGTAGGGTTTGTACACTGAGTCATCCACGTTTGATCAAGACGGGGGGGGGGGGGGAGTACCCTTGAGGCAGCACAAGTGATAATAAAGTCCAACTTAAAAAAAAAAAAAAAAGAGAGAGACCACGGAGAGAGCAGCGCGGCTCCTTACGGAAGCTCTCCGAGACTTTAGGGTTTCTCAAGCGTATCCCCAAAGCGCTGCTCCTGCAGGTTCGGTTTCCTGACAGCACCACGGATCGCACCAACACCGGGCCCAGAGGACGGCGCTTCACCTGCCTGGTCTGGGGGAATTGGCGGGGGGGGGGGGGGAAGAGCCTCGATCCGCGGAAACTCAAAAAATCTGCAGCCAGAGAGTCTCAAAACACCAGTTTTGTGGCTGAGATAATGGGCCGCTTCGAAGTTCCCAGGCTGAACACCCAGGCTGCCGGTCCCTAGAGCCTGACGCAGGGTTCCTTACAGTCCTTTTGTCTGTTCAAACGAGCCTCGGCAAGCGGCGGCGGCGGCGGCGGCCGAGATCCTCGCCCTGGGCCCCGGTTACCGCGAGCCCCGCGGGCCGACGTCCCTCGGCCGGGCTGCAGCTCCTCCTCCGCGGCCCGGCCCCGTCGCCCCGCACCTCTGTTTTCGGAGACTCGGCACCTCGGGGGGGGGGGGGGGGCGGGAAGCGGCCGAAGGGCCGCAATACAAGTTTGGAGGCCAGCAGCAACTCGCGGGGATGGAACAAGTATTGGGGCCTACTGCAGAGCAGGAGCGAAGGGGGGAAGCCCCGCTCCCCGCTCCCCGCTCCCCTGCCCGTGGGTGGCAGGGAACCAAGTCGGGGGGCGGAGGGGGGCGGCGGGGAGGGCGCGGAGGGCGGGGAGGGGGAATCTGGCGGAAGAGAGGTAGCCGCGGCGGATCGATGGCCGGTAAACAAGCGCGGCGGCGGCGGCCGCCTCCCCCCTCCCCCTCCCCCTGCCTCTGCCCCTGCCCCTGCCCGGGCCGTCCCCGCACCCGGGAAGCCCAAGATGGGAGCGCGGCGGCGGCCGAGCGGCCTCCCTCCCCCCGCCCGCGACGCCGCCCGGGGGAGCAAGGGGGCCGCGAGGGGCCTGCAGGGGGGCGCCTCCCGGGGCCCGGTTACCTGGCGGCCGCGGCTCCGGCTCCGGCTCCGGCTCCTGCTCCCCGTCCGGTGCTCAGCGCCCGGCGGCGGCGGCGGCGGCGGCGGCGGCGGCGGCGGCGGCGGCGGCGGCGACTCCCCGAGCAGCCCGCGGCGACTCCCCGAGCCCGGCCCCTCTCCGCCTCCCTCCGCGCCGCCTCCGCCCTCTCCCCTCAGTCAGGACATGGTCTCCGCGGGCCCGCGCGCGGCTCCCGGCTCCCGGCTCCCGGGGGCAGGAGGGTGGAGAGCAGGCGCGGAGGCGCGGGGCGCTCCGGGGGGACGCGGCGGGCGAGCGGCGGGGGGCGGCCTCGGGCGCTGCGGCTCCTAATGGCGTCGGCGAGGGGCCCCGGAGCCAAATAAACCCCGCGGCGAGCAGCACAACGTCAAGGCCGGACCCCGCCGCTCGCCGCCCCGTCATTGGCCCGGAGGCCGCCAGCGGCGCAGCCAATGGGCGGCCGCCTCTTTCCGGGCGCAGGAGGCGGGCCGCGGGGGGGTGACGTCATGCCGGCGCCCGGCCCCGATTGTGAGGCTGCGGCGGGCCCTGGGCGGCGTGCGGGGCACGCTGGGAGGCGGCGGGGCGGCGTGACGTAACGCGCGGCGCGGGGGGGTGGGGGGGCGGGGACGCAGGCGACGTGCCCGGGGCGGCCCCTCCGCTGACCCAGTCGCGATGCCCCGACGGTGCCACCTGTTCGCCCGACTCCCGAGCCACCCCTGGGGGCCGGGTCTCCCGACTCTCGCTCCAAGACCCAATATTAAGAGTTTTTATTGGACTCTTTTTTTTTTTTTTTTTTTACAACGTCTGTTGTTTGCATAAGCGCTGCCCGCGAGGCGCCTGCCCCTAGCTACGTGTGGACGCGGGTGTTGGTGCGTACAGTGCTCGCGCGCACATCGGCGAGGTGAAGCCGCGGAGCCTCTGCCATCTCACAAGAAGCCTCAGCCCGGGAGACTGCTCCCCGCTCCCCCCTACCCCCTGCTGGCTCCCCCAGGGCCGCCTGCTCCGCAGCACGGAGAGGATCACCTGCTCTGTAAATCGGAAATGTAACGGCAGAGGATACGCCACAGCCCTTGGGAGAAGCCCTGCCGGGAGAATCCCCAGAGCCCAAGGCTTACACGGGATACGTGATGGGGCGATGCGTTTTGGATGTTTCTTATTTGACTTTAAATATAGCCAAAGAGGAATGAATGAATGAATGAATGAATGAATGAATGAATGAATGAATCCAAAGAGGAATGAATGAATGAATGAATCCAAAGAGGAATGAATGAATGAATCCAAAGAGGAATGAATGAATGAATGAATACATAGGTAGATAGATAGATAGATAGATAGATAGATAAAGCCAAAGAGGGAAAAATGAGAATGATATCATGGGTTTTACTAAAAGAAGTCTCCCAGTTTCAGAAGAAAGAAAGAAAGAAAGAAAGAAAGAAAGAAAGAAAGAAAGAAAGAAAGAAAGAAAGAAAGAAAGAAAGAAAGAAAGAAAGAAAGAAGAAAAAGAAAGAAAGAAAAGAAAGAAAGAAAGAAAGAAAGAAAAGAAAGAAAGAAAGAAAGAAAGAAAGAAAGAAAGAAAGAAAGAAAGAAAGAAAGAAAGAAAGAAGAAAAAAGAAAAGAAAGCCAAAGAGGGATCCCGGAGTGGCTCAGCGGTTGAGCACCTGCCTTCAGCCCGGGGCCTGATCCTAGAGACCCAGGATCGAGTCCCGCATCGGGCTCCCTGCATGGGGCCTGCTGCTCCCTCGGCCTGTGTCTCTGCCTCTCTCTGTGTGTCTCTCATGAATAAATAAATAATATCTTTCAAAAACACATACATACAGCCAAAGAGCTAAGCCGTTTTAGCCTTTTGCTAAAAAGCCCACGAATTTTCACATTTTTCCAGCTGGGGAGCTTTGTTTTTCTTAGTGGAACTTCGCTTCGAGTTCTTCCTACTTCGAGACTGCATTTCAAGAATTTGAAAGACCTTAAAGTGCAGCAGCAACTCGTTAAAAGGTGTAGACCTCTTTGTTACCTGTTGAAGAACCATATATCACTGTCAAAGGGCGTCAGCAGTTGTATTGGACACCTCAGCGTCAATAGGAAGAATTACTGAGGGTTTAATTGGATTTTTGAAACTGGGAGACTTCTTTTAGTAAAACTGTCCATGATATTATTCTCATAAAAAGCTAAGGGTAGGGGATCCCTGGGTGGCTCAGCAGTTTGGTGCCTGCCTTTGGCCCAGGGCGCGATCCTGGAGTCCCGGAATCGAGTCCCGTGTCTGGCTCCCGGCATGGAGCCTGCTTCTCCCTCTGCCTGTGTCTCTGCCTCTGTCTCTCTGTCTATCATGAATAAATAAATAAAATCGTAAAAAAAAAAAAAAAAAAAGCTAAGGGTATGTGTGTGTAGCCTTACTATGGCCACTTAAGAAGAAGAACCTTGTAGAGCTACCTCTCACCAAAGACCTTTCATGATGTTGGGACATTTTGTCCTCACAGTGACAGAGATTTTCAACAATCCCCATCTTCCCAGAATATTACTTGGTCAAAGACTTGTCAATAAATTGAGTTTAATCGGCAACAGTCATTTGCCTACAAAACTTAACATGTAATTAACACGGCTGTAGCTTAAACACCATATTAGTAAATAAGAACAAATGGTCCAACCAATATTTCACTTTGAAAATGTTTTAAGAGCTTCTGAGTTCCTCCAGCTTCCCCTTCCTGCACCTCAGTTGGCAAACCACCTCACCTACGAGTCAACAAGAACGCAGAACTCGGTGTTTTTGTTTAGTTTGAGTTGTAGTTGATTTTGTTAAGAGAAGGGGGTATTGTCGGGCTAAGGCTTATGAAGTCTTCACTCGAGTTAGCAAACGTAAAGCAAGCATCCTGTGCCAAGGAACGAGAAGTACACAAAGATGAGTGAGACATATTCTGTGTTTGAGGGACTACAGCATAGGAAAGGGAGTGAGATAAAAATAACCATAATTATAATAGGAGGTGGAATGTGCTAAGTACATTCAAATGAAAATTACCTTGTAATTGAGAGGAAGAGCAAATCCAAAAATGATTCTATGTTAAAGCTGGGGGGGGGGAAGTATGCACTGTTTAAAAAATTAAGTTCTTTTTCTTAGAACTCTTGTATTAAAGTGTAGGGACAGTGTAATTTTGTTGTTTTGGCTTTTATCTTGGGTGTTTCCCAAATAACCCATAGAAAATAAAATTTCCATTTTACTTCTTGTGAAGGTCTTGAACGCCAAATTACGCATCTGAGCTTAATTCCTTTACTAGTTCAAAGCCATGGAAAGGTTTTGAGCAGAAAAGTGCCGGTACTGGAGCTATATAACCTGGAATGTCTGTGGGACAAACAAGGGTAGAAACAGGGACAGAGAAACCAATTAAGAGACGAGAACCCCAAACCAGAGTAGCTGTTGGAATGGAAAGGAGGGACAGATATGAAGTAAGGTGGCAGGAGAAGGGTCAGGGGTCAGGGTTTGCCAGTGTCTGAATCTGAAGTAGAAGAATCAAAAGTCTGAGAACTCTGATAGTGAGGTGATTAACAGTGTGAAACACGGGAGAGGAACTAGGTAAGAGGTGATCAGGTTTGTCCAGATCCTGGGCTCAGGAGGAAATATGCAGCAAGCAGGGGAAATGCTGGTCTGAAATGTGATAGGCTGGAGCTGGAGATAAGCATCGGGGACTTATCTATGTAGAAGTTACCACTAAAGTCAGGGGAGTAGGAAACAAGAACTCTGAAGGAAAAGAAAAGACTGGTTGGAAAGACATAAAAAAATAAATAAATAAAAGAAGTGCTCTGAAAGCCAGAGCAGCAGTAAGGCTTGAGAACATGGTAATAAACAATGTCTGGTTCTAGAGACTTCAGAATTAGAACAGAGGAAAAGTCACTGGGCTTGGCAAACAAGAGGCTTAGTGACCTTCTAGAGAACCATTCGCAGTGGGATGATGGAGAAAGAAGCCAGATTTCAAAAGCTGAAGGCATATGTGGGCATTGAAGCGGCGATTATAGTAGACTACCAACCAGTCCAAAATGTTTGCCAATGAAAAGAAGGCAGGTGGTATAATAATACACAGGGAGTAACGGGAATAAGGGAAAGATTTTGTTTTCTTTTGCATATTTTTTTCAAGAACGAGCGCCTCTAAAAAAAAAAAAAAAAAATGAGCGCCTCTGTGCACTTTTCCAAACAGGAGAGAAGGTGAAGAAGGAAAAAAGTGATTCACATCTCACAGGGAGGTAACCCAGATCACAGCGCTTTGTCTTGGAAGACAGAAGGGCCTCTTCTTTCTCAGAAACAAAAGGAAAGGAAGATGTGGAAAAATAGAGGTGCTGGGGGATTCTGATCGGAGAGCGGTGATAGAGCAGACTCCACACACTTTGTCCCCTCGTGGGCAGCAGGCATGCGGTCACCTGCTCAGGACTGGGCTGGGAAGCTGGAAGAGAACAGGGGATGTCGGGACAAAAGTTGGGAGGAAGTGGACCGACAAGAATGGAGAAAGGAGAGAGACAAGGAACCAGTTACTCCAGCAAGGTTGAGAAGCCCAGAGTCAGGCCCAGAACAGGGAGGTCAGACTACCGAGGCTACTTAGGAGAGATGACATTTCCAAATAGGGAAAATGAAAGGCGCTTTGCTGAAGGAAAGGAAAACAGGTGCAGCCCGCTTAGTGTCCGTTGGGGATGTATGCTTCTATGAACCAAGATTTATAAAATTGGTGAGCTTCCCTCAAAAGAAATGCTAGAGAGTTTGATTGTTACCAGAATGAGTTCTCAGCCACGCTGCAGAAAATGACAGTTGCATAAACTGCAAAGTATCTTCCCCTTACTGTATAGGATCAACATGATTCCTCAGTTAAAGAAAAAAAAAATCTCTTTACAGTAGAAAATGCAATATAATAGTGCTGCCTGATACATTCTTATGCAATAAATGACACTGTTTTGTGGAATACAGGATTATAGGATTATCCTGTGACCGTCTTGGACACCAGCCACAAACCTGCCTGAGAAATCTCTCATGAAAGGGCTAAGTATGTGTGTAAGGCATCGAACAGATTACTGCTCATTTGATTTAAGCAAATC